AGGGAGGTGAGCCTCATTCTGCCCTCTCCCTTGGGGGTCTGAGGCTGCGCCACCTCTCAGGCATCTTTAGGACAGAAGAACCACCTTCTTCTGAGGAGTGAGGAGTGAGTGGAGTGAGCCTCTTCCTTCAGGTTTGCCCTAAGCCAAGGTGGGACCACACTCAGGTTAGTCTCCCACACTGGGAAGATTTCGTTCTACGTTTCCTGGAGGATCCGCGAGTGGCTGCCCACACCGCGTGTAGAGGTCTGCGGGCAGCTGGGCAGGCTGCAACTTCCTTTGCAAGAAGGAGAGGGCTTGCAGCCTCCCTGTGGTTCCAAAGACCCCTGCCACCTAATTATTTTTAACTTTTAGCATTCTGGCAAAGTAGACAACTCCACTTACAACCTTTGCATTATAACTTAAAATTGCCTTGTGAAGAGAAAATATGGTAATATCAACTTGCTAGAGGTGCACAAAATATTTTTAAGACAGAATATTCGGATTCATTATTATTATAATTGACTGTGATTTACTGGATATTTACTATGTGCTAAGAAGTGTACCAGGTGTTACAAAAGTACATTACCACATCTAATCATTATCACAACTTAAGAGGAATATTTTTTGCAAGTGAAAATAGTGAAGTTCAGAAAAGTGATGTAACTTTACAGATGCCTGTTTTGAATATTCAGATAGGTAGTGCTATTTCTAATTACCTAAATATCTATTTTCTTGTTGGCCTAGTATGTTATTTTTAAAACATGAAGTGTGAATCACTTATGTCTTGAGATGTTCAGGAGACTTCGATGTTGCATTAGAATTTCTAATCAAACCAAGGAGTACTTGCTGAAGCGTTATAACCACACCCGCCCTGTGAGATCTTCCAAGACAACTGAGTGAGTTTTAGTTCCATTATCCCAGATGGCAAATGTGGCTGAACCTCTTTTCTCTTGTTTATTATCCATTTACATTTACCTCCAAGCCATACACTTCTAGAAGGCTCTGTTCGTGGGGAGAGGATTGA